TTTCTACTCTTCATGTTTCTACTCTTCATGTTTCTACTCTTCATGTTCATACATAGAATGCATATTCTAATTTATGGCCAGCACCTACAGGTAGTTGTCCTGTGGACAGACTGTCCCACCTGAGCTGCAGCTCGTCCAGAGTCATCATGGAGCTCCTTTGCTGCTTTTCAAATGAAAACTCTGTTTGCCCGGCCTGTCAGTTTAGGTGGACGTCCATGTTGGAGCGTGTCTGCAGTTGGGTCTATTTTCAGATGATGAATTGAACAGAGCTCTGTGAAATATTAAAAGCTTGAGATGTTGTTTTATTAACTCACTCTGCTTTAACCCTCAATAACTATTCTTAATCAGTGCTGTGTGTTCCTTGGTCTTCATGATGCTGTTTGATCATTAATGTTCTGTAACAAACCTCTGAGGACTTGATTTATACTGAGGATATAGTACACACAGGTGGACTATTTAATATTTTGGTGACCGACCCCTGAAGGCAGCTGTTTGGAATGGACTTTAGTTCAAAGTATTAAAGAAAGGCTGAAGACAAATTATTGAAAGTCAGAAAGATATAATTTAATATACATCAACAACTGTAGTCAATCCAGTTCAAAAAGGTACCTACAGCTAATCGACCTTAGACAACACCAAAACAAGTCAGTTAATTTTACACATGGCTGCAGTGCAGTACGGTCGGAGCTGAGAACAGTTCACAACTACAACAACCCCGAGTGTTAATATCATGAAAGAGATGTGGAAAAGTTGTTTTCAAGGTTGGACCTATAACTCAATGAACTATGAATATCTAAGTCTAAAACTCTGGCATGCTCTTAATATTGTAAATAATTGTTTGGATCTCAGGAAAACCTTGCAAACTATAACAACAAAGTCCATGCTCAATAATCCACTTTGGTGTTGGGGGAAGAATCAGTTTTGTGTGTTTCCTCGACTGATGAAGCCTTCTGGATGGAAGGTGAAATGTTTCAGCACAAAGAAAGAAACTGTCCAGATGACCTGACTGAAAAATGTTGGCTTGCTAACTATAAGTCTCTGTTAATTATGGCAACAATAACTTTCACTTGACTACCACGAAAGGGATTCTTAGTACAGTACCACTAGTAATACTTGTACCACAATTTGAGAAACAAGGAAAGAAAAATATACAAGGAAAAATGACATAAATGTTTCTCTTAAGAAACTACTTGAACAGGACTGTTTCTGAATAGAAACAATTCTGAGAGCGCAACAATGACCAGAGTACTCGAGATTTTAATACTTTTACTGTCATCTAGTGGACAATGGTGCTAATTACCACATGGACAAGTTTTAATTGAGACATTCGTTCAGATCGCGCAGAACAATGAAGTAAATGTAGTTTCACAGCAACACAATGGTTTAAAACACTTAGAATGAGTCTGGGCAGGAAGACACTTTGGTAATTGTTATTTATTTATCACCCTTTATTTAACCAGACAGATCCCATTGAGATCTTAGATCTCTTTTGCAAGGGAGGCCTGGGCCTGAAGGCCGCCCAACATGCATGTTTTTGTTATTTTATTTATTTAGTTGTTGTTGTTATTTAGTAGTATAGCAATAAGTTGTTTTGTGGTACTATTTTGTGTGCTAGATGGAAGAACACCAAGTGTGGCGTATGTGCGCATTGATCTGCCTGTGTTCTTCGGCAAAATGTTAAGTCACGTTTCACCGAAGTCGGAACGTTGTGCTACATTAATTAGAAGAACATAACTATAATTATTGTAAAACTTCACATTTTAAAATTAAAACTAACCTCCATACGTGGGTTATAAACAACATACGTGTAAAACCCATGTTAGGTTACCGTATTTGAATGAGCACGAAGCTTAATGCCGCTCTTTCTGCTTTTAACTTGACGTCCGTTGCGTGCAGCGTTGAATTACGTCATTTCCGGTGAGTGGGGCCTTTTTGTTTCCCCGTATCCGCCATTTCAGTTTTTGAAGTTAGTTGTCATCAGTGGCTGGTTTGTGGCTGTAATTTTGCCTCTGGATCAGATTTTACAACCGGCGGAGCTGAAGTCCGGCCTCAAACCGAGCGGGGGTCGTTTTTTGTCGGCGGGTTCCGTTTCTGTGTCGGAGAATTGATGCGCGTTCGGCCAGCTGCGGATGTCGCCCGTTCACGGAACGTGCTCCAGACGCTAAAGTTTTGTGTATGAGTTGAAGGCTCTGCTGGGTGGATAACGGGAGGAGAGCAGGGAAGGCCCGGTGAAGCCTCGGCTTTGGAGTGATTATCATGGCCGGAAATTTTGACGCGGAGGACCGTGGGAGTTGGTACTGGGGTCGCTTGAGCCGGCAGGAGGCGGTGTCTCTGCTGCAGGGGCAGCGGCACGGCGTGTTTCTGGTGCGGGACTCCATCACCAGCCCCGGGGACTACGTGCTGTCGGTGTCCGAGAACTCCAAAGTGTCGCATTACATCATCAACAGCATCAGCAACAACCGGCAGTCCGGCCCAGGTAAGAACACGGAGGGGGCGTGGAGGGCTCCATGGTGGGACCATCCTTGCATGACTTGCAACAAGATGGGAACCAGGTTCTGACTGGGTTCACCCCAGTTCACCACAAACTGTTTCAGTGCCTCCAGAGGTGGCACCCCAGATGTTATCATGGTGTAAGGGGTCTGGCGTCCATCTTCACCATATCTCCTTAAACAAAGGTTTTACTGAGCCAAACCATTTGAGCAGATCCCGTACGTGTCAACATGTTGTTCAGCTAAACAAGATGACGGGTTATGTTGATTTAGTTGAGAAATAAAAACCACAACCTTAACTTGATCTGGGCAGATATTTCTTCTTTCACATTATTATAGGAAATGAAGGGGGAGTGGTGGTGCAGAGGTTGGAGAAGGCCAGCATGTGATTGGAAGGTCGTCGGTTCAACTCCCCGGACCAACAACATCAAAATAATAATAATCATTTTATTTAAAAAGCGTCTTTCAGGACAGCCAAGGACACGTTGCAGTAAGAAACATAGAAAGACTGTGTAAAAACACCCAACGAGCACAGTGCAAAGATCAACAGGAGTCAGTTGAAATATGAAATACATCAAGAGTAAAACGTGGGTGGGAAAGGTGAAACACCCACACCTGCCTTCACCCTCAGTTGCCCCACTCTGGGCCCTCTTACCCCCACCAGCTGCTCCCCCGGGCGTCCAGATGCAGCTCCGCTCGGTGTCTGGTTGTGTCCAGCGTAAAATCAGTCTCCAAGTGTTCGTGCGAGTTGGTTCGCTGTGGCGACCCTGAACAGGAGCAGCTGAAAGAGTAAAAACTATAGGAACTTGCTAGATCTTGGCCTGTTTTGATCTATAAGCTTGTGCAAAGCTTTAATATCTGATTAACATTTTGTCTTAACATTTAAAAAAACGTTTTGTTTCTCTGCTGCGAGACATTTTCATTTTAGTAAATTGTTATAAACAGAGTGGCGCGGGCTAACGCAACAATAAAACTGATCATAGTATAAAGTTAAGACATACCTAGCTAAGTCTGGTACAGAAAAATAAGTTGTGTGTACAGTTTATTGATTACTGATTTATTTACTGATCTTTGTTATAGAACTGGGTTCACACAAGCAGCCCAACATTGTATTATCATGGTGTCGCTCTTAAAATAAATTTCGTGTTGCAAACATTTTCACAGGGTAGTCAGTACACCCACAGAGTCCACGCTCAGTAATCCAGGTATACAATCCAACATTTTTCAGTCCGGTCGTTGGACAGTTTCTTGTCTTTATAATCACTCTACTTATTGTCAGTTTGAATTGAAACATAACTCTGGTTCATTTACTTATTGATAAACTTACAAGAGCCACCTGAGAGGGTCTGAAGAACAGCGCACTGTTGTAGAGGCTCACAGGCCCAAGTTTATTACCGTCTGTGTGAGAGTTGCTCCTGTAGGACTTTTTTTAAAGCTCTTCCATTTTTAAACCTTTTGTTTCAAGGAAAATGTGAAATAAGGAAACAAACATGCTTCTTGCTCATTCTGGAAATCACCATCATCTTGCCTGATGAAAATAGCATGAGCTCACATGTGTGCGTGTGGCGCTGTGTGCAGATCATAACGTGTGCTTTCTCTCCCTCCTTTGGACCAGGTTTGGCTCATCCAAGGTTCCGTATTGGTGACCAGGAGTTTGACGCTCTTCCTGCTCTGCTTGAGTTCTATAAAATCCACTATTTGGATACCACCACTTTGATAGAGCCCATCAACAAGTCCAAACATCCCTCCTTGATGAGCGCTGGTCCCAACATGGGCCCCCCACCGCGGTTAGAGGATGAGTACGTTCGAGCTCTTTTTGATTTTCCTGGCAACGATGAGGAGGACCTTCCGTTTAGGAAGGGGGATGTTCTCAGAGTTCTGGAGAAGCCAGAGGAGCAGTGGTGGAACGCCCAGAACTCTGAGGGCCGAACAGGGATGATCCCAGTACCATACGTAGAGAAGTATCGACCAGCATCTCCAAACTCGGTGGCGGGCCCTGGGGGACCGCCGGGTGGGATGGCGGTGCACGGGAACTCTGATGGCTCTGCAGCTCAGTCCGGTGCACCGCTGTTGGGAGACCCCGGCCAGTATGCCCAGCCCACCCCGCTCCCAAATCTCCAGAACGGACCCGTGTACGCCAGGGCCATACAGAAGAGGGTGCCCAACGCCTACGACAAGACCGCCCTGGCCTTGGAGGTAAATATGGAGACACGAGTAGCTTTCCTCACCCTCTTGCTGTCTTCTTGCATTCACCTAGGAACAAGGGACATTTTGGAAGAATGACCGGTTTACTTTGTAGGACACTGTCCTGCAGGTTTATTAGGACACAGGACACGTTTTTGCTGGCGTTTTTCTCTTTGCTGTGTCCTCCTTTATGTCTTTCTCTGTCTGTTGAAGACGTTAGAAAAAGATACGTGTTTGAAAAATGCGCAGCCTTCTTGTTTATCTTCTTAATCTCATTGCTTAATCTGCCCTCTGTTTAATTTTGTGCATTTATATTCCAGATGTACCTTAAAGTTTGCCCGTCGTGTTTTAATTTTGTTGACGTTTGTTGATTAGGGGCACTTTGAAGCTAACGAGCTAGCATAATCTGAAAACGTCACTGTGCAGTCCTGGCTGCGCAGCGTGGCTGGCTGGTGGACTGTCCGGAAGTGAGAGCAGGGCTCCCACGAAGGAGGTCACTGGGGGAAGGAAATAGTTTGTGTTTGGGAACAGGACCGTTTCCTCTGGTTTCTGTGAGGCCTGGAATCCAGCTGAGCCCGGACTGGGACGAGGAGACGGGCTCGTGTCTCCTGCCCACTGCTGGGTGGTGTTGGCAAACGAACCAGCACTGAAATGTTTTTTGTCTTTTTGTAGCAAACCACACAACTTGGAGATTGTTTTCATGTCCGTTCACTTGCCAGTCAAGAACTTGTTTCAAGTTGTTTTTGCACATATCACAAACCTCCCTAGGCTCTACAGCTCCACCTGTGGTGCACTTGTCTGCCTGTCACCTGCTGGACAGTTTGGTTTCTTCCTGGCCAGTAGTGACTCAGCATGGCGGCATTAAACCGTTAATCATTAGCGCACGTTTCCGTGGCAGCAAACCCCACTGATCGTAAAGACGTGTGTTGAAAGTGAAGCAGCTTCCAGTCTGACATTTGTTTCATGGCTCTCTTGTTTTCTGACTGAAGGTCATTTTTCAGCAGACTACAACTGATGGGACCATGCTCTACTTTCAGTCTTAAGATTAAAGGCATTTACATTACATTTAGAAAGTTCTTACAATGTTTTATAGCTGTTCTACACAAATCTCCTCTGCCGAAAGGCGAAGGCAGACGCTAACGTTTTTACCTGTCTGTGTTTTGTCTCTGTCAATATATCACATTAACCACTCGACAAATCTGAATAAAACTTGCAGAATAGAGTGAGATGTCATCTACAACTGAATAACTTCTAAAGTTCACCCTGTTCAAGATGGCTGACATGTTCAACTGACCCTACAAATATCTAAATGACTGTAGCATGTGACATTATATGACAGTACATAATGTTTTGTGCAAATTTTGACCAAACTGATTGATTGATTGATTGATTGATTGATTGATTTTATTGTCAATTCTGCATATGTACAGGACATACATAGAAATTGAAATTGCGTTACACTCCTACTCAAGTTGCAGCAAACAACAACATTAGCAAAAATAAACTAACACAACTAGTTATAAAAAAATATAAAAGTGAACAGCAGCAGGACCTCTGATGCAACGTGCTCAATAGTGACTAACAGGAGACAAAGGGACGCTGACTGAAGACAATAACATGATGAGAGGTAGATAATGGATGTGCAAGGCCAGAGTAAACAATAGTGCAATATAAAGTATAAACCTGAGAAACTTAGTAAAGTGAAGGTGTGCATACCGGTTCTATATAGTCACAGTTATGTACTGATGAGGTGATTAAGTGGAAATGACAATACCAGAATTACCAGAATAAACAGGACGAGTTGATCATAACTGTAGTGCAAAATATAATGCAATAAACAGTAGAGTGAGCTTGTAGGCT